GCGTAGTCTAGACGACAGGCAGCAGCAAAGTCAACAAGCTCAGCGACTAAGGCAGACGTAGCAGCAGACTCAAACGACGGGTCAGTGACAATAGTGGTTAGCAGACGCGTGACAGTAGGGTGCTCAGCACGAAACCGGTCAGACTCGGGGTCCGCAACGACAGGCAGAGAAGACGCAGGAGGGGACGGCAGAGGAACACGCTGCGGAGGAGAGGAAGGACGACGGACTACAAGGTGGGTGTCGGGGACAGCCGGCAGACGCGGACGAGGAACACGACGACCGGAACGACCAGAACAGACAGGCGAGACAGGACGCGACGCAGGCTCACGACGCTCAGTAAGACCCCCTAGCTGCTCAGTGTAAGGAGAAGGAGCAGGCAGCGGTGAGCCAGGCTGTAACGGAAGACCAGTAGACGAAGGGAGACTAAGAACCTGGCGAAGCACAGAGTCAGGCGGTGGCTGAGACGACGGAGACGGTGGAGCGAAGAACAGGCACGGCTGTGCAGTGGCACCAGCACCAGCAGCTCCAGTACCCCCAGCAGCTCCAGCACCTCCAGCAGCTCCAGAACCTCCAGCGCCAGCACCCTCAGTAGCTCCAGAACCTCCAGCTCCAGCGCCACCAGCGCCAGTACCTCCAGCAGCTCCAGAACCTCCAGCACCAGCACGCTCAGCAGCTCCAGAACCTCCAGCTCCAGCGCCACCAACGCCAGTACCTCCAGCAGCTCCAGAACCTCCAGCACCAGCACCCTCAGCAGCTCCAGAACCTCCAGCTCCAGCGCCACCAGCGCCAGCTCCTCCAGGACCAGCTCCACCAACAGCAGCACCCCCAGAACCGGCACCTCCAGTCCCAGGGTCTCCAGCCTCAGTGCCTCCAGCAGCAGCACCCTCAGGCTCAGCACCTCCAGCCCCAGTAGCTCCAGTACCTCCAGTACGAGCACCTCCGGGACCAGCACCACTCCCAGCTCCAGTGACGTCAGCAGAAGTACCTCCAGCGGCAGAGCCCCGAGCTCCAGAAGCGCGACCCTGACGGCGACCGTACCAGTCGTGCAGCTGCTGCGAGGTGAGAGGCACACGCGGACGAAGGCGGCTACTCCAAGGAAACCGCGCAACAGCAGACTCAGAACCCTCAGCGCCAGTACCCGCAGCAGCTCCAGAACCTCCAGCAGAAACAACTCCAGTGGCAGAGTCACCAGCTCCAGCGCCTCCCGCAGCAGGGCCCCTAGCTCCAGCAGCGCGACCCTGACGGCCAGCGTACCACTCAAGCAGCTGCTCTGGGGAGAGAGGGAGGCGACGACGAGAGTGCAGCGGCGAGGCACCAGCGGAGCGACTACGGAGACGGTCGCTCCAGGGAGACTGCTCACCAGACGCCTCAGCGCCCCCAGGCTCAGCACCCCCAGACTCCTCACACCCAGGCTCAGCACCTCCAGTCTCCGCACCCCCAGGCTCCGCACCTCCAGGCTCCGCACCCCCAGGCTCAACACCCCCAGGCTCAGCACCCCCAGGCTCCGCACCCCCAGGCTCAGCACCCCCAGAAGCAGCACCCCGAGCAGGACCACCCTCAGCAGGACCTGAGTCACCAGTGACCTCAACCGGCTCAGTCAAGGGAGGAGGGTCTACCTGAGACACACCTGAAGGAGCAGGACCGGGAGCGGGGAGGGGGTCTACCTGGGGAGCACCTGGAGCGAGGAAGAGCGGCGGGGGGGGGAGAGGGGCAGTGCGGTAGGGGAAGAGACGGTAAAAGGGAACCGACTCGTCGAACGTGACGTCCTGAGAGGGGAAGAAACGGCGCGAGGTGGGGTGGTAAAACTGCCAACCAGGCGCGTCAGGGACAAAGCCAAGGAAGACACAGGGAACAGCGCGGGCGGAGAGCTTGTCCGCGGTGGTATCGCGGACAAAGGCACGAGCACCCCAGACCCGGAAACGCGACGCATCGCCAACCTTCCCCGTCCACAGCAGTGTGGGCGAGGTCTCCGGCAAGGAGACACGGGGCCAGAGGTTGAGCTGATGCGCGGCGTACTGGACCGCAAACGGCCACAGAAAATGGGGGGCAGCCGCATGGATCATGGAGGTACGAGCGACCTCCATGACTAAGCCAATGCGGCGCTCAGCAACCCCATTCTGCTGCGGAGAGGCCGGAAGCGTGAACGTCTGGCGGATGCCGTGCTCCGCACAGTAGGCTGCCAAGAGGTCTGAGGAGAACTCACCACCTCTGTCAGAGTGCAGACGCAGGACAGGAAAGTCCGACTGGAACCGCTCGCGGAGCTGGAGACGAACAGCGCGGATCCAGGGGATCAAAACATCAGGGACCTCCCCCTTGCTGCGCAAAGGGAAGACCGTGGTGTAACGCGTGTAGTCGTCGACGACCAGCAGGAAGTACCACTCGTGGCCCTGTCCATGGACGCGGGCTGGGCCCCACACGTCCAGGTGGAGAGTCTGCAGGGGAGCCTCTGTGGGAGGGAACGAGGAGGAGTGAGGAGCGGCGCGCTGCCGCCCCTCGACACAGGGAAGACAGGGAGGAGCAGGCGAGGGTGGTAGAGGAGGCAGAGTCTCTGGAAGTCCAGAGACAAGGAAACGGCAGTGCATGCTACGAAGGCGCTGCACCGAGGGGTGACCAAGGCGGTGGTGCCAAAGGAGGGTCTGGTGCGACAAAGCGCGACACGAGCAGGGGGCCGCTAGCTGACCTGACGCAAACGCAGACGCAGACGCAGCTACCTGAGGGGACACAGTGGTCAGTGTGTACAGACTCGAGCCAGGCTCTCGGGTGAACGTGGCCAGGTGCCGACCAGTCCGGGAGCACGTACAGTGGGTCACACGCTGACCTCCAGGGGTGAACTCGTCAACCCACACATCCTGTAGGCCAGCTCCACTCACCAAGTTCGTAGAGAACGAGGGGAGGTGAAGACCTGACAGGGAGCCAGACGGGACCGCCGGACACGGCAGGACCGTGGAGGAGTGCGCAAGGACTGGACCCCCAGAGGGGTCTGCCAGGGAGACTGCAACCGGCCGACGAAGCGGCGTGAGGGTGGTGCTGTCGCGAAAGGAGGAGCGGGAAGCACCTGAGTCAAGTGTGAAGGTGTACAAGGCCTCAGCAGGCGCAGTACCAGAGAGAGCAGACTCACCAGGACCTGGAGCAGCAGCCTCACCAGCACCTAGCGCAGGAGACGCACTAGCACCTAGAGCAGCAGCCTCACCAGCACCTAGCGCAGGAGACGTACTAGCACCTAGAGCAGCAGCCTCACCAGCACCTAGGGCAGCAGGCTCTATACCTGGGTCAGGCGGTACGCACAGGGAACAGGCACGGTCAGCACTAGTAGGCAATGCATACATGGCAGTGAGAATAGCATCATAGTCAAGAGCAAAGATTTCTACCCTCTGCCCAAGCAGCTCCAGCCAGGTGGGGAGCTCAGCCTCGTCGCCAAACTCGGTACGCCAGGCGTCGCTCAGACGGGCGAAGCAGCGGGACTGGGTGTGACCAAGTGTCCCGCAAGCCTGACCAGCCCGATCACCTGTGCGAAGGACGTACGGGCAGCGAACGGTACTCCGAGACCCTCGACTCTGAGCGTACCACTCGTGAAGCTGCCGGGACGTAAGTGTCTCGCGCGGACGCCGCTGCAGCTGCAGCTGGCCACTGCCAGACGCTCCCGACCGACCAGCCCCAGGGCGACAGCCACGACGGCTACCGCCACAACCCCAACTAGCGTACCACTCACGAAGCTGCTGAGGCGTGAGAGACTCGCGCGGACGTCGCTGGAGCTGCATCTGGCCACCGCCAGTAGCAGTAGTAGCAGTAGTAGCAGCAGCAGCAGCAGCAGCAGCAGCAGCAGCAGCAGCAGCAGTCTAGCAGTAGTAGTGGCGCGGGAAGGGCAGGCAGGCAAGCAGGCGTGGCAGGCAGGCAGGCAGGCAGGTAGGTGCTCACCAGTGGCGAGAAGGGCAGGCGCACGACGGCGGCGACGGCGGGGCCGCGACAGCTGCGGCAGATCAGGACCGCGTCGGAGGTAGGGCAGGTCCGCTACAGCTGCTGCAGGGCGGGGACGTGACGGCGGCAGAAGGCTCCGCGGTAGCTGCTGCAGGGCAGGGCCTTGACGGCGGCAGGAGGCTCCGCGGCAGCTGCTGTAGGGCGGGGCCGCTACTGTGGCAGGGCGCTCCGCGGCAGCTGCTGCAGGAGTGACGGCGGCGTCCAGGGGCAGCCGCGGCGCGCGAGGCTGCAGCGCGCTACGCGAGCCGCGGGCACGGCGCGCGAAGCCGCCGCGGGCTGCGCGAGGACGGCAGCCGCGGCGCGCGGGGCTGCAGCGCGACGCGCGGGCAGCGAACGCGACGCGCGGGGCTGCAGCGCGACGCGCGGGCAGCGGACGCGACGCGCTGGGCTGCAGCGCGACGCGCGGGCTGTGGGCGCGACGCGCGGGGCTGTAGCGCGACGCGCGGGCTGTGGGCGCGACGCGCGGGGCAGCGACCTGGCGGGGCGGCGCCCTGGCCTGACGGGCCTGCAGGGGCGGCTCGCAGGCGTGACGTGTCTGCAGGTGCGGCGCGTGGGCCTTACGGGCCTGCAGGGGCGGCGTTCTGGCCTAGGGCAGCAGTAGGCAGCACGAGGGCTGCAGGACGGCGCGCGCAGCGCAGCACGTCACAAGGCAAGGCAGGCAGGCAGGCCAACGCGTGGGGTAACGCGGTAACCGCAACGGTAGGTGGGCCCGAAAAAAAAACGGTCCTACGGACCTAGTGCTCTGAAACCATGTCAGAATCTAGCAGCAGGAATCATTGAACTATCAAAGAGTTGGGTACAAGTATGAAACCCTAAAAGGGGCTGTACCCCATATTGGCTACCCCACTACAGCCTACACATATATAGCATGCATATACTTTGACACACCCCCATAGGACCGCATGGGCTACAAATACAAGCGGAAAAAGAAGGGAAGACACAAGTCATTGCAGGAGCTTCTGGGGCTCAGTTCTCTCTCAAGATCTGCATCTGCAGTTCTTTCACCGTTTATTCATCATCACCCCATGGCTCCCGCTGGTGACATGTTGACTCCGCCAGCTCCAGGTGCTGCTGGCGTGCAAGGGAAGAAGCCTTCGGATGCGCGACCGGATCTGGTGACTCCTAAGACGCTTTTCAACGGCGTGGCTGGCTCCTTTGGCGCGGAAGTGGTTAACAAGCTGGCGGAACGTACATCGGCTCTCAAGCTCCATGATCTGCCGACGGGAGGGAAGGAAAACAACATGGTTAAGCCGTCTGCTGCTGGGAGCTCATCGTCGGCTCCTGACGTGCTTGACAAAGGCAAAGCAAAGGTGGAGGACAAGGACAATGAGGACGGCTACCTCAGCGATGACCCAGAGGAGTGCCAAGACCCGGAGGTGCTCAACGAAATTGCTGCGCAGGCGGGTTTCGCTATCACCCTGCTGGTGCCGTTTGCCTGGAACAAGGAGGTTCCTCGCACCATCAACACGGTTCGTCATCTCCTGCTGGTGTGGGGGAAGCATTTGTCGGAGAATGTCAGGACCACGACCGGTTTCCAACAGCTATCGGCTACCTACCTGTCCAAGCAGCATTTCGGCCGGATGCAAGTGGTCTTCCAGCAGGAGGCTGATGCGTGTTTCGTCTGGAGCCGGGAAGTGGAACACTACACGATGAATGACAAGAAGCTTACGCTCGGCTGGCAGCACCCGGAAAACGCCAGTTATCTGAAGGAGCGCGCGCTGCATCCCGAGGCGATTGAGGTGCTGCTCAAGGGGGTCCCGGCGGTGATCTCCCCGGAAATGATCCGGAAGAACCTGGTGACGGCGATGCTGATGAAGCGGGGTCGTTCCACAGGGTCCTGGATCCTGTCTCGGGGTCGGACACTGACAAGATTAAGGGCCTGGTCTACAGGCACTCGGGGGATAAGTATAAGTGGTGGCACCGCGTCACTGACAAGATCCATGGCATTGACCTTCTCGTGTCGTTTCCAGCTCTCACCTGCGAGTTTTGCAGCAGCATGCATATGACTTGCTTTCATGATGAGTTTGTTAAGGAGAGGCAGAATAACATTGGCAACTGGGGTCTGTCGCTGCTGCGTGCTCATGAGATTAACGGTCAAGGCCTACACGCTTACCTTGCTTTTCAGGTGGTTGCAGCAGCGGACCCCCAAGCTGACTTCTGTGTCGCCTCCCTCCCAAGCAGCTGCTTCTCTGAAGCTGTCAGCGGCGGCGAAGATCATCATGACGGATCCGGCGATCTCCCTGACTTCGGTGGGAGGGGTCCGGGAGGAATGGATCTGTGTGCAAGAGGAGTGCGGGAAAGCTCACGGGAACAATTTCGAGCAGGCGGTGGAGCATGCTCAGTCGCAGCGTCACTGCTCTGGCCTTCTCAAGGCGGGAGCTGCTACCCGGCAGAGCAGGGGGAAACAGAATCTGGCGGAAGTCCGGAAGGAGTATGGGAAGTAGGGTTGCTGCGAGGCATCATGGACCTGTGCTGGACAATGGGGGGGATCACAATTTTCCGGAGTAAGGAGGAGTTAGACCCAGCTGGATGTGTCATGTGTATCACCTCATGTAATAAAGCCCGTGGATGCGTGGGGCTCTCTGATGAGTGGATCAATGGGTAATACAACCAACCTTACCATCTGCGGGGTCAATGTGAACGGCCTCGGAAGTAACGGAAAGCGAAGCAAGCATCGGCAATGGCTGCGCAAGGCGGCGGACATAGTAGTTTTGTCAGACACACGGATCAAGGAGGATCATAATTTCTGGAGCGAGCTGAAACCAAAGGCATGGGCTGCGGCGAGCCCCAGTCAAGCGGCTGGGGGGGTGACGATCCTCGCCTTTGCAAAACATATAAGTTTCTCAGAGGTGTTGGCGGACTCATCTGGGAGACTGTTGGGGGTGACGGTGGAAGGGGGGGATGTAACTTTCAGGCTGATAGCGGCCTATCTCCCGGCGCAGGCGTGAAACAGGGCGAAGTTTCACACCGAGCATCTGGTCCCCTTCGCACAGGCGCAGCCGGCAACAGCGCACCTGGTGGTGGTGGGGGATTTGAACATCATCGCTGACCCAGATCTGGATAAATCGTCAGGAATTGGATCGGGGAAGGAGAATCAGAGGTTTATCAGCTCGTGGCCGTCTCATGATCTCCGTGATGCTTTCAGAGCGTTGCACCCCACGGAGAAGGAGTACACTTTTCGAGTAAAGGCGACGCAGGCAAAGTCCCGCATCGACAGGGCCCTCGTCTCGACGTCGCTGCTCGGAAACCTGTTGGAGGCGGGTCATGCGGAAGTCCCGAGGAAGCTGACGGACCACTGGTTTGCGATCCGGCTGTCCCTGCGCATCGTCTCGTCGCAAGAGTATGGTCCGGGCCTCTGGAAGTTCCAGGCAACACGGAAGGATAAAAAAGGGGTGCGGAAAGTGATTGAGAAAGTGTCCAAGGCGCCGGACAAGGGAGGGGGTCACTTGTTGGAGCAGGTAATCTCGCGACTCACGGCCGGTTTAAGAGCGCACGACAAGGAGGAACGCAAACGGGTGGTGATGACGCAACGGCATCTCTCGGAAGAAGTGGAAAGGCTGAGGCACCTGGTGATGGGAGGCCCAGCGGACGAAATGGTTCAGAGAGCGCTGCTAGCCAAAGAGGAGCAACTGGAGGCTTACCGTGAAAGCGACAGGGAGAGGCTGGAGGTTTTCGCGGGCCTCAAAGCTGAGCTACAAGGGGAGGTCCCGTCACCTTACCTGTCGGCCAAGGTGAAGATGAGGAAGGAGCGGACAATCATCAGCGAGGTGGTGTACAAAGGGCACCGTTTCAAGGGCTCGAAGGAGGTGCTCAAGGCGGCGTCGGCACACTTCGCCGAGGCTTTCAGCGAGGCCGGGGATGCGGCGGAGCTGAGGAGACCTTTCACGGTGGACAGAATGTTGCCGGAGGAGGCAGCGAGGAGGTTGGCAGCCCCGTGGACGGAGCCGGAGGTGAAATCGGCGCTGGTGGGATTGCCAAGGGGCAAGTCGCCAGGGCAGGATGGTCTTCTGGCCGAGCTTTTTGTGTCGCACTGGGACCTGCTGGGGGGCGTTTTCATGGATTTCGTCCGTGAGTTTGAAAAGACAGGAACGTTGCCGGAGTCGGTTACGACGGCGGTTACGGTTTTGCTTCACAAAAAGGGAGAGAAGGACCAGCTGACGAACTATCGTCCTATCACGCTACTAAACACGGTGTACAAGGTGCTGGCGAAAGTCATGGCGAACAGGTTCAAAAAAGAGCTTCACCAGATAATTTCGGCGGAGCAGCACGGCTTTATCCCGAGACGGAGCCTGGCGGACGCGGTGGCGGTTGTAGCGGATGCGATTGAGGCAGCGGATAATGGGGGTGAGGATTGGTACCTCCTGATGGTTGATTTCCAGAAGGCATATGACACGGTGTCGCGCCCGTACCTCTTCGAAACTCTGAGGAAGCTGGGGGTGCCTGCAGATTTCATACGGTGGGCGGAGGGGCTACACCGAGGGTCAGGAACGAAGATAGCAATTAACGGCTGGATTGGAGAAAAGGTAGACATGCGAAGGGGGGTACGGCAAGGATGTCCACTGGCGCCTTACCTATTCCTCTGTGCGCTGGAGCCGCTTTGCTCGGAGATCAGGAAGAGAGGTCTGGGGGTAAAGGCGGATGAAGGAGAAGAGGTGGCGTACGTGGGCTACGCGGACGATACGTCGCTGATTCTTCGCGGAGCGGAGCAGCTTCACTCGGCGGCGGAAGCGCTTGAGTGGTTCGGCGAGGTGTCGGGCCTGCACACAAACCGCGAGAAGTCAGTAGTTATGCCGCTTGGGCGGAACAGGGGGAAGGTATCGCTTCCAGGGATCAATTTCAAGTGGGCAGCGGATGGAGAGCCGGAGCGATTGTTGGGGGTCTGGGTCACGCCGAATGGAGAGGCGGCACCGTCCTGGGATAGGGCGTGGGAAAGGGGGAAAAAGGAGTTAGTCAAGTGGGAGAATCAGCATCTACTCACAGCGGCGAGAGTCACGGTCATCAACAGCTATATTATGCCAATTTTCCTCTTTCAGGCACAGATATACCCGCCGCCGGAGGAGCTGTGGGCCAAAATCAAGAAAACTTGTGACAACTATGTGTCCAAAGGCCAGGCCACGGCGGACAAACTGTTCGTTCTCTGGAGTGGCGAGCTGGCACGGCTGCCGAAGAAGGAGGGAGGCCTGGGGCTGGTCGACCCGAAGGCGCGGCTGGATAGTCTGGCGATCAGAACGGTGGGGAAGCTATTGACGGAGAGGAATGTCACGAGGAGGTGGCTTGCGGAGAAGGCGGCTTTGCTGCCACAAGGCGTGGGAACTCTGTACGCGCATAAGTCTGCGGGCAAACATTGGGAGAGGGAGAGTCAGAGGTGGAAGGCGGTGGTCGAGGTTTTCTGGGACTCGCCGTTCGCCGACCTTCCAGCGCCGACAAACGGATGGGAGGTGGAGCAGGAGCTCCTGTGCTTCAACCGCCGCATCATGTTCCGGGGTAGCAGCCCGTACGGTAACCAGATGGGGACAGCAGCCATCCTAACAACCAAGATTGGAGAACTGCTGGAGACCAAAGAAGACGGAGGAAGGGGGATAAAGGATATTAAGGTACTTAGGGAGGAGTTCGGAAGCGTGGCGGCAGCCAGATGGGCGACAAATGCATATGAGGCGGCACCAAAAGAGTGGAAAGCGCTGCTGGCGGCGCCAAGAACGGCGGCGACGGTGGTGGCGGCTGCAAAGGTGGTGCGCACGGTTCTTCAGCGCACACAGGAGAACATGTACTGGACGGTGCAGGGGGTCAGCAGTGACGGCAGGGTGGAAACGGACGATTTGAGGTGTACGGACGATACAAACCTGCTAGTCCCACCGAGGCCCATCGCGGTGAAGTTCCCGGTTAAGGACGTGTTGCCAGTGGCGGTCAGGGGCAAAACGGTCCTGGGGGCGATGGGAGCTCCGCGGGCGAAGCTATGCCTGACGCAACTGGTAGATGAGGGCATGAGGCCCGCGGCGCCCCGGGTGATACGCAGGCTACTTACGGGCCCGGTGACGGTGTCTAGAAGAAGAGGCGAATGGGAGGAAGACTGGGGGAGGAAAATAGACTGGAAAGCGGTGCTGCAAAGGCGCGACTCTCGAGTTGTCCCGTACAGGGCAAGAGATGTTGTGATCAGGATGCACAGCAAGAACCTCCAGGTCGGGGGGAGGCTGAAGTTCTTGGGCCCGAGGGGGGTCTGTCCACACTGCGGAGCTCCTGAAACCCTAGACCACTGCATGCTGCTCTGCCCGGTGATTCAGCCGGTCATCGGCGCGCTGCTCAGCTCGCTTCAGATGACGGATCCAGGTGTGCAAATGCAGTCGCTGGGAGACATGCTGTTCCAGGAAGGAGCCACGAGGTCAGGTTTTCCAGGGGCAACGTTGACAGCGGTGACAATGCGGCGCATTTGGTTGGCCAAGGTGGATGCGGTGTACAGGAACGGAAGATTCCAGAGGAAGAAAGTGGCGAGGGCGGCGATCTGCGATTTTATGAGGCATGCGCGGATTTACAGGGCAGAAAAATCCAAAAGCGTCGACCGGGGTGTGGTGGCAATGGTACCACGAGACCCATGGCGGGGGTTGGCAACAGACGAGAGAGCGGCGGTAAACAGGATATGCAACACAGGTGAACAGGCCACGTGGAAAGATGGCTTTCTATCCATTTGGCAGAATCCTAGGACCTTTCATCGCCCCCCGTAGGAACAGGGAGGAGAGGGGCAACGCGGTTTTTAAAAGCCGTGGGGTCGGTCCTCTCCTGAATACAGTTACGACTGGGAATGTATTTGCATTTGTTATAGTGCAGAAGCATTCAATGAAGAAAAAAAAAAAAAAAATCCCCTCAGCTCGCTACTCACAAGACAGCCGGCCCAGCTTCCACTGACCATACACTAGTTAGCAAGGAGCAACTTTGATCGACGGTATAGATTTGCTGCTGGATAATGTAGGGCCTCCAGACGACACATGAGTAACATGGTACTTGGTTCCTCCTGTCAGCCACCCTCACCTTCCCTAGTCTTCGGAAAGAACCGCCGCCCATTTGTCACGTGACTTAACCTGCGGAGACTCGCCACGCATGTCGAGAGTGGATCCATGTCGGAGGTGCGCCATATGCGGTTCAGGACAACAATGTCGGTGCAATCATTGCATGCGCTGCAATGTCGGTGCCATTGACGGTTCCGGAAACCGTACAGTGTTTTCTACCTTCCGATTGCATCCACCGCATTTTTCCTTCCACGCCAGCTCATTTCGCGTCATCCACGTGAATGCGCTGGCAAGAGGATGTCCTGGTCGATAAATCTTAACCGTTGATGAAGTTTCAGAATGAGCTTGAAGCCCCATTGACTGTAGATCGAGCTGATCCATTATTATGCACTGGCAACCATTGCTAACATTTCGGAGGGAGCGTGGGGCTCCGACAGCCGGGGATC